GCATTTGTTATTTCTTGCCTTATTGATCACAGCCTATTCTAACGGGGGGTGAGATGATGTCTTGTGGTTTTCTTTTGCATGTCCCTGGTGATCAGTGATGTTGCGCTTCTTTTCATCAACTCTTTGTGTAACCGTTGGTGTGCCTTTTGAGAAATGTCTGTTCAGATCTTTTGCGTATTTCAATAGGATCACTTGTTTTCTTTTATGTTGATATGTTTGAATTTTTTTGTAAGTTCTGGATAGTAACCCTTGTTACATTATTTTTTCCCTATTCTGTAGATCATCTCTTCATGCTCATTTTCTTTTGTGGTTCCATACAGATTTTTAGGACTGTGATCCCCCCCCCCCCCCCGATTTCTGTAAAGAACGTCATTAGTACTTTGATGAAGATTGCATTTGAATTTGGGTAGTTGGAACATCTCCCAATACGATAATGGGGCGTTTTAGGATTCATTAAACGCAGAATATCTTCCTATCGGCTTGTGTCCTCTTGAATTTCTTTCATCGGTATCTTGATTTTCATGACAGAGATCTTTTCTTTTTTTTTACCTCCTTGGTCTGATTTACTTCTAAGTATTTCCGTTTGTTCATTTGTAACGATGGTGAATGGGATTTCTTGATTCCTTTTTCATCTGGCTTGCTGTTGGAATGTAGAAGCACCGTGATTTTTGTATATCGGACTTATATTCTACAGCTCTACTGAACATTTGTCAGTTTTGCAATTGGTGATGTTTGAGATGGGGGTCCCACTATGTTTGGTGGGGGTCCCACTTCTGATCTCTATAACAGTTTTGACTTTTTTTTTTTTTTTTTGAATTTACGATCCTACTGCCTGACTTCCCTAAAGTAACTAAGATCACAGGTTCTGTGCCATCCCTCCCAGCTCATTTATGAGTTCTGATTATGTTTCTGTGGATTCTTCAGGTTTTCCTATGTATGAGATCATGCCATCTGCAAATGAGGACAATTGAGTGACATTTCCAATTGGTATGCCTTCCTTTCTTCCTCTTACCTGATTGATCTGGCTAGTACTTCCGGTACCACATTGAATACAACAGGAAAGCGTAGACATCCTCGTCTCATTTTAGATTTTTAGGGGAAAATCCTTCAACCTTTTCCTTTTTGCTATATTAGCAAAGTTTGTCATGCACGGGTTTTATGGTGTGGAGATATCCATTCCTTCTTGTTTGGGATTTTATTTTTGTTCTAGGTGCTGGGGCTGGACCCCAGGACCTTGTGCATGCTAGGCAAGTGCTCTGACACCGAGCCACACCCGTGAGGTACACTCCTTGTACACCTAATGCATGGAGAGGTTTTATGATCAATGAATTTAAATTTTTAATAAGTGCTTTTTTCTGAGTCTCTAGAGATGACCAAATGGATGTCCTTCCTTCTGTTATGTGACATATCACATTTATTGATTTACATAATAAATTTAGTATGAGCCCAACTTGATTATGGTGAAGAATCTTTTGGATGTGCATTTGGATTCTGTCTTGCTAGTATTTTTTTTTTGGGGGGGGGCACCATTTCTTCAAATGTTCTGCCCTTTTATCTCTCTTCCTTGTGGAACTCTTATGTCAGCGAGGGGTCCTACAGGCCCTTGAGAGTTAGTTCATTTTTATCCAAGTCTGTTTTTTTTTTAAAATCCCTGTTCTACATATCAATAATTTCAACAGACCTACCTTCAGGTTCACCCATCCTTTCTTCTGCCTGCTGCTTAAATTTTCTGATAACTCCCTCTAGTGAGTTTTTTCATTCGGTCATTGTACTTTTCAGTTCCAGAATTTCGGTTTGGTTCCTTTTTAAAAATGAAATTAAAAAAAAAAAGAGAGAGACTATTTTTAGAGCAGTTTCAGTTTCACAGCAAAATTGAGTACAAAGAGTTCCCATCGACTCTCATCCTGCCTCAAAACACAGGCTGCTTCCCCCTCTGTACAGAATGGGTACCTTGGTGATGGTCAACCCACACGGGGGACACGCCACCTGGGGTCCACGGTCTACATTCAGATCTGCTCTTGGCTGTGTATTTGTTTTAATTAGATACACATGACAGTAAACTGATCTTGACATATCACACATTTGAATCAAATGGGGTATAATTTCTCATTTTTCTGAGTGTACAGGTTGCAGAATCACATTGGTCACACAGTCACCTATATACATACAGCAATAATAAAGTCTATTTTATTCTGCTGCCCTTCCTATCCCCCCTTCCCCTCCCCTCCCCTCCCATCTCTTCTCTCTACCCAATCTAATGTGATGCTATTCTTTTTTTCTTTTTCCTCACATCATCATACATGTATTCTGTATAACGATGAGAGTCTCCTTCCATCTTCCGTGCAATTCCCTTTCTCCCTCCCTTTCCCTCCCACCTCTCTTCCCTATCTAGAGGTAATTTTCTTCTCATGCTCTTCCTCCCTACCCTATTTGGAGTCACCCCCCTTATATCAGAGAAGACATTCGGCATTTGTTTTTTAGGGATTGGCTAACTTCACTTAGCATAACCTGCTCTAATGCCATCCATTTCCCTGCAAATGCCATGATCTTGTTATTTTTTAGTGCTGAGTAATATTCCATTGTATATAAATGCCGTATTTTTTTATCCATTCATCCACTGAAGGGCATCTAGGTTGGCTCTGCAGTCTAGCTATTGTGAACTGTGCTGCTATAAACATTGATGTGGCTGTGTCCTTGTAGTATGCTGTTTTTAAGTCCTTTAGGTATAGTCCGAGGAGTGGGATAGCTGGGTCAAATGGTGGTTCCATTCCCAGTTTTCCAAGGAATCTCCATACTGCTTTCCAAATTGGCTGCACCAATATGCAGTCCCACCAGCAGTGTATGAGTGTACATATTCTTTTTTTATTCAGACATGGTTTTCCTATTTCCTTTAGTTCTTTGCCCATGATTTCCTTGAGCTACCTTGAACATAGTTAAAATCACTGAATCAACACCTTTGGCTGATGGTTCCAATGTACATCCAGCCTTCTGTGGAGATAACGTAATGTCAAGTTCTTCATCTCCTGTGAGCATTTCTAGGCTTGTGATGTTTTGGAGAACTGGACATTTTCAGTATTATGCTGTGGTAACTTTGAAAATCCGATTTCCCCCATTCCCCGGGGATTGGCTCTTGCTCATGAAGGACTGGAGCCGTCCACTTGTGACTTTTTTAAGCTCTTTTTTGCACACGGTATGTGTTCCTTGCTGTGCACAGTCGCTGATGTCTCTGCTCCTCTAGCACGGTGGTCACCTGGGATCCTCACAAAGATTTCCTTAAGTGTCCTGCTCCCCAAAAGGAGAGGGGGTTACTATCTCCTTAAATCTCCCAGAAGCCACTTCAGCCCTGTGGGGTTCACCGTGGTGCTGGCCCCTGAGTGATCCAAACCAGCAGAGTCAGCAACCAGAACCCACAACCCCGATATCGTAAGGACCAGGGCCTTCTGGCCCAACCTGGCTCCAGCAAACGCTAACCAGGAACTTGGGCAATGCCCCCCCCACTGCTACCTTCCAGGATTTGGGGACCAGGGAATGGATGTCTTCTTCTGCTTCCTGCATCACCTCTGCTGGCCCCAGGTGCCCCAGGTCTTCTGTTGGCTGGGTTTGAGTTCTTTCCGTCTGCTGATTTCCAGCTGTTGAAGACGGAGGTGGAAAGAGTTGCTAAGGGGGACGTCACTCACGTTCTCCCGGTTAGAGAATAAGAAATGCTGGGAGCGGGCACGGGGGTGCACACCTGCAGTCCCAGCGACTCAGGGAACTGAGCAGGAGAATGGCAAGTTCAAGGCCAGCCGGGGCCACTTAGTAAGACCCTATCTGGAAAGAAAAAATAAATAAATAAAAGGGGGGCTGGGGATGCAGCTCCGTAGTAAAGTGCTCCTGGGTTCAGAGAAGGGAGAGGCAGGTGTCCTAAGAGCAGACAGAACATTTTTTTATCAAAGAAGTGCTGCATCTCAGCCCGAGTACGTCCAGGCTGCCAAGCACCGGCGCAGGTGAGACTCGGAAATCATGTGGGCAGATAAAGCCAGACAGGAAAGTTCTAGAAGGGTGGGGATAAGAAGTTGGAAGAGCAGGACTGGAGATGCAGCTCCGTGCAGAGCATTTGCCTCGTTTGACCCCAGCATTGCAACAAATGAAGCAAAACATTAGCGACCCCTGGGAAGAGTCTGAGATGGGAGGTGGCCCCAGGGAGTGGTCCAGGGTGCAGGGAACCAGCCATCTCTCCCTCCACACTGCGTTGAAATGATACCATGTATCCATGGTCACCAAACTGTATGTGGAAGGCTTGTGCACTTTGCATACGTCCCTGTCTGTGTTTCACACCACAGTAAATAAGAAAAAAGGGAAGGGAGGGAACATTGACGGAGTGTTTGCTGTAGGCAAGGTCGGCTTTAAAAAATAAATAAATAAATCCATTCTTTTCATGAGCACTTACTATGCCCTAGGCACTCTCGAGGTCCTGAGGACCTAGCAATTCGGTCCAGACCCTCCCTTCCGCATGATGCCCATAGTTGGTGCAAGACACAGCACGAAAGGAAAGTCATCACAGTGACAAGCAAAAGTGGCTTGTCACAGGGTCGGGGGAGTCAGAAAGGTCTTCCCTGAAAGAAAAAAAAAAAAAAAAAAGCTTCAGAAATCTTGAGGATGGGGAGGGGTCGTGGGGGGCGGGGGAAGAAGAGCCTTTTATGTAATGGGAACAGCATGTGCAAAGGTCCTGTGGCAGAAAGAGTCACAGCATGGAAGGAGGGCAGAGAGCATGGCCAAGCAGGGTGCGGCCGACATGAAGGAGGGAGGGACTCTCAGAATAAGCATTTCGTAGATGGGGGAAACTCAAGCATGGAAAAGTGAGGTGGCACCAGTCAGTGCAGCTGGGATGGGGAGCCAGCTCTGCCTGGGTGCCCTCTGCCCACTGAGAGACTCAGGGAATGTCCCTGGGAACCTGGGTGACGGAGGCCCCCTTGGCTCCACTCAGCTTGCCAGCCACCCTTATGCTCCCTACCTCTCAGCTCCACAGGGCCTGTGGCTTGGGGTGGCTATGAGATCCTGCCCTGAGGAGAAGTACTGGGACTCCTTGCTGAACGGCTGCATGTCCTGCAAGCCAATCTGCAGCCAGCGGAGACCGAGCACCTGCGCAGCCTTCTGCAGTGAGTTCTGGGGCCTGAGCCCAGGGAACAGCTGGACCTCCCCACACCTTACTTCCCCCCCAAAGCTCCCTCTGGCCCCACGGCCGTCCGGAGGCTGAGAAGTGGGGTCAGGGGAAGGAAATGCACCCACTCATTCATCAGCGATTCTTCACCCCCTCATTCGACTCTCGCCACTTTATTTATTTCTTAGTTTTCGGTGGACACGACATCTTTATTTTATTTTTACGTGGTGCTGAGGATCGAACCCAGCGCCCCGCGCATGCCAGGCAAGCGCGCTACCGCTTGAGCCACCATCCCCAGCCCTTGAAAATTTTTATTATAGAAATGGTCAAACACGCAAAAACACAAGAGTTGACCCTGTGTCCCCGTTATCGGCTTAAAAAAATCATTAAAATTCTGCCTTTTTGTTTTCCGATCATTTTTTTTTTTGCTTGAATATTTTAAAGTGAATTTTAAAATATCATTTTTTACCTATAGATACTAGATCATGAATCCCTCACACACCAGGTCCCCTAAAACATAACCTCAACATCTTTTTTATGATTTTTTTTTTTTTTAGTTGTAGGTGGACACAATACCTTTATTTTATTTTCATGTGGTGCTGAGGATCAAACCCAGGGCCTCGCATGCCCTAGGCGAACATTCTACTGCTGAGCCACAACCCCAGCCCCTATAAATGGAATCTTTTTTTAAAAAAAAAAAAATTATGTTTTTTTAATATTTATTTTTTAGGTGTAGATGGGCCTTTATTTTTATGTGGTGCTGAGGATCGAACCCGGGTCCTGCCCGTGCTAGGCGAGCAGCGCTCTACCGCTGAGCCACAATCCCAGCCCCTAAATGGAATCTTAAAAGAAAGTTTACTTGTGGAAATAAAAATATCCTCAGGCTTTCTAGAAGGTAAACTGATTGTCCCAGCTATTTTTCTTTTTTGGCAGTGTGGGGGCTAGAACCCGGGGCCTTGTGCATGTTAGGCAAGTGCTCCACCATTGAGCTGTGCCCTCAAGGAGCCCTTAAATAGAGTTCTCTGTATCCCCAGTGTAGGTTCTGTCGAGCTCTTGAAGGTCAAGGTGCTTGGGCTTTTAGTTTGCTTGGCTTCTGCTCCTTGGCACTGATACTTATTCTAGTGGCTGTCATTCCCATTTATTTTTAAAACCCACAAAATGCTACTAATGTGAGCTTTCCCACCTGTCTTCCAATCCCACCCTCCGCAACTTGCCAAAGAGGACTCTGACCTTTCCCCTCTGTTCCTTAGGCTAATTGGAGATATATTTCTTCTTGATGGGGTTTGGAAAAGGCAAGTAAAGAATGACAATTAAGGCAATTGAAGAATCTAGTTTATCACTTTTAAAAGAAAAGTAGAACATCTTCCTAGGCTTGAAAACTAAGAAATGGAATCTTTTTTAAAAAAAAAATATTTATTTATTTTTTTAAAAGAAGAGTCTTTTAAAGAATCTATAGGCCAAAGAAGAAGTAATAATGAAAAGAAAAAGAAAAACATTTTGAACTAGATTCAGGAAAAACACTATGTATCAAAATGTGTGTGATGCAGCCACAGCAGCACTTGGAGGATCATTCATAGCCTTCCGTTTGTATAAATTCGATTTGTAAAAAGACTTGGATTATTCCGGGATTGCTATTTGAGTCGGACTGTGACTTTTTTTTTTTTTTTTAACTTTGATGTCCTTTGAGATTAGACCCAGAGCTCCTGCAGGCCCATGTCACCCATCACTCCTTTCTCTTTCCCAGAGTCCCTCAGTTGCCTCAAGGAGCAAGGCAAATATTACGACCGTCTCCTGAAAGACTGCGTCAGCTGCACCCCCATCTGTGGTCAGCACCCCAAGCAATGTGAATACTTCTGTGAGAACAAACTCCGGAGTCGAGTGAACCTTCCACCCCAGCTCAGGAGGCCGCAGACAGGGGAGACGGAAACCAGGTCAGATAACTCAGGAAGGTACCAGGGATTGGAACACAGAGGCTCAGAGGCAGGTCCAGGTAAGCCTGTGGTGGGGAGGGCCAGAATGCACGGGAGGCTGGGCACCAAGCCTGATCAGAAGGGTCTGCAGGGCTGGGGTCGTCGTAGCTCCGTGGTAGAGCCTTTGCCTGGCACACGTGTGAGGCTCTGGATTTGATTCTCAGCACCGCACATAAATAAATAAAATAAAGGTCCATCGACGACTAACAAACATATATTTAAAAAAAAAAAAAAAAAACGAAGAGTCTGCGATATAAGAAGCCCAGAGTCCAGGCAAATGGTCAGAAGCCAGGGTAGTCAACCCAGGATAGCAAAACAATTTAGATAAAAATTCCACAAGTGTGTGGGCAAGAAAGTAGCAGAAGAAATGGCGTGACTTGTGATGGAAGCTACTGAGGTTCTTTTTTAAAAAATCTTTTCATCTATTTTTTATTTGTACGAATTAGTTATACATGACACTTTTTAATATATTTTAACTCACACAGAATTCTACAATTTATGGAGTACCATGTGATTTTTTTGGAGGGGTGGGTACCGGGGATTGAACTCAGGGGACACTCGGCCACTGAGCCACATCCTCAGCCCTATTTTGTATGTTATTTAGAGACAGGGTCTCGCTGAGTTGCTTAGGGCCTCGCTTTTGCTGAGGCTGGCTTTGAACTCGCGATCCTCCTGCCTCAGCCTCCTGAGCGGCTGGGATTTCAGGCCATCCTCAGATGAACAAGTTTTTGAAACATGAGCAGCCCAACCTACGTGAGCACTGTGCCAGGAGGCCACCCAATCTCAGCCTCCGGTTAGGGACAACGGAGAATTCCTTTGAATGAGAAGGAAGAGATATTACTAACCCAAACAAAACATTATGGCCATCGTGAACATAGTGAGAAGAGTCTGCTGGGCAGCTGCTGAGGGCCAGGTGTCAAAAATAATCGAATCGATCCACCCAGCAGACACCTCGAGACTCCCTACCCTGTTGTGAGCACCCGAGACGACCTTGAGCTGCCCTTGACCTATCAAACAGCAGGCCCGAGTTCCCTTGAGAGTCACATAGCAAGTACGTGACAGAGTTGGGCTCTGTCCACCCTGCAACAGCAGGAAGACCCAGAGCAGGACCCATGGGTGGGATCACTGATTCCTGAGGGTGACCGGTTGCCCTTAGGAGGAGGTGAGTCGCATCCTGCTTGGGACCACCAGCCAAGCCCCCTCACCAGAAGGTACTTGGGGCTTCATCTTGGCTCCAGGGCCAGAGCTCCCAGGATGTGTAGGGGGGGGGGTGCATAAGGACATGTCGGGAGGTCAGGAGTGGGGGGTCAGCCTTACTGGGCCTCACCCTGCAGCTTTGGCTGGACCGTGGTGTCACCAGGGGACACCACAGGCCCTCCCAGAGCCTCAGAGACTTGGTGATTCTCTTGCTGTCCCCTGTCCCTCCCTGCCCGGCATCTCTCTGGTGGCCTGCGGCTGAGATCTCTTCTGCTCTCTCCTCTCATATCTCTGTGGGCTGCCGGGGCAGGGGCCGGGCTGGTGTGGATTGTAAACAGGAAGTCGGGGCCACATGCACAGGGGACAGACCCAGATGTGGACCTACCGGAGGGGAGGGAGCAGAGGACACCAGGTGAAGGGTTGGTCTGTCCCCACCACCCGTACCCAGCACTGCGAGGCCCACCTCAATGGATTCCAAGATTCTCAGGCGGCCCACTCAGGACTGCCGTGCCTGGGGGAGGCCAGAGTCTCACGGAGGGAGAGACAACAGACAAGACTTCCGCTAATGATAGACTAATCTCTATCCCAGTGGCTCAGGAGGCTGAGGCAGGAGGATCACAAGTTCAAGGCCAGCCTCAGCCCCTTTAGCAAGGCCCTAAGCAACTTCGTGGAGATCCTGTCTCAGAATAAAAAAATTGACGAAAGGGCTGGGGATGTTGCTCAGTGGTTAAGCGCCCCTGGGTACAATCCCCAAAATCTACATATTATTTTTTTCTAGGGGGGACAGGAACGCAGTGATCCATCATCCACTTCTCTAGCAGGTCTGGTGATGACGACTTGCAGAGAAAAGAGGAGGGGGAATGAGACAGAACAGCTAGCAGCCAGGGGTGGCTGGAGATGGCACCGGGAGAGGTGATTGCCAGATGACAGAGGGATTCTCTTGCTGGGCTGGGGAGGCCGGTGTCCGGCTCGAGGCAGGGACGCAGCAACTGGACAAGAGAGTCAGAAAGGGGCTGGGAGGCGATCTTCCCGTTGCCTCTGGGGACATGGATGGCAGCAAGGGTCCCGAGTGAGAGGCTATGTCTGGCCACAGATAACAAGGACCTGAGTGGAACAGAGGTATGACATTAGGAGGTGGGCGGGGGGGGGAGGCTAAGACCTGGGTGACCTGGGGAAGTTTCAGGACTGCTCCTTCCCAACTGTCCCCACCCATAATGCCCTCCTGGGGGCTCTCCCAAGGCTCAGGTGACTTTCCATTTGCTGTGTGTGTGTGTGTAGCACATGAGAACCAGCTGCCCTGGCAGGTGAGCTGGGTAGCTTCCTGTGGCTGCGGTGACCTTGCTCCATAGACCAAGTGACTCAAAACAACACAGGTGGACACAGCCACAGTTCTAGGGGCAGAAGGTCAGAACCCAAGGGCAAACGCCCAGGGCTGGGTTCTCTCCGTCTTCCAGCTTCAGGTAGCCTGCAGGCATTCCTGGGCTTGTGGCCCCATCATTCTGGGCTCGATTCCCATCTTCAACCCAGTCTCTATTCCTGGCCTCCTCTGTGTCTGCCTCTCTCCTCCCCTGTCTTCTGGGGACACTTGTCATTGGATCTGGGACCCACCCTCGTCCAGGACGATCTAGTCTCCCAGGTCCTTAATTTAATTACATCTGCCAAGACTCTGTCGTCACATGTGCAGGTTATGAGGGGCCATATCTTGGTTGTGGGGGGGGCACCGTAAGAGGAAAGAGACATCCCCCAGGGCACTATGAGCTATGAGTATTCCCATGTGACCAGGCTTGTTCCCATGAGGCCAGGCTTGGGGACAGCCAGGACCCTGTGTGTGCTGGAGCTCTGGATAGCATCTTATTTGGAGAACTTGGATTTTTACCCACGATGGGGAGATAGACATAGACACAGAACTGCTTGGCTCACATCGGGTTCCTGCAGGTGAACTTTCCTTGTGGAAGACGGAGGAACTTCCTTATCCTGCTGGTTGAAACTGGGCTGTTGGGAAAATCTGACCCTTCTCTCATTTTTCCTGATTTCTTGGAAGGTCAGATAAACAGCTTAGTTTCTTTTAGCTTGGTTTCTTCTTTCGCGTGAATGACTCCCTTTTAAATTTTTTTTTTCTCCCTGGGACTCAGGATTGAACCCAGGGGTACTCTATCACTGAGCTACATGCCCAGGGTCTTTGCTAAGTTGCCCGGGTTTGGGCCTCAAACTTGCAATCCTCCTGCCTCAGCCTCCCAAGTCACGGGGATTACAGGTGCGCACCACCATTACCCAGGTTCCATTTCCAGCTTTAGCCTGGTTCTGGGAGGACCCCGTGCAGAAGGAGGCTAAGTCCAAAACAGTAGCCTCCTCTAACTTACTCAGCAGCGCCCCCCGGTGGGGACAGAGCCGTCTAGACTCGGCTCAGACCTTAGTGCTGCCAGCCAGGATGGGGGGGCGGTTCCCACGATTTGGGTCCCAGAACTTCTCAAGGTTTCATTTACTTTGGGGACTAGAACAGGATAGGTGTCCCTAGTCGCTGTTTTAATGATTTTTCAGTTTCTCAGGGTCCTCTTTGTCCTGACCTTGTTCTGGGCTACCCCAGTGGGAGCAGGACCACTCTCCCATTTTTCTGTCCCCCGCTAAAGCCAAGGTCCAGGGATCTGCTAAGATTGGGCAGAAGCCGAGGGCGCAGGGTAGACGCGCGTGGAGAGGGGAGGAAGAGGAGACTTGGTTATGAAGAGAGCCAAGATGGAGGGCAGCAGCTGGCGTAGGCTGTGGGACCTGGGAGCCACTTTGGAGTGACCCGGGCCAGCTGAACAGCCAACTGATGTGACCCAAGGGCCAGCAAAGGGGCCGTAAACAGCAACGTGGCCTGGACAGAGTCTGGGCCTGCCTCTTGGCACGGCCGAGAGCTGCTCCCCTCCCTCGAGGAGAACACATTCGCCCTCAGGAGAAGGGGGTCCCCAAAAGATCCAGGGACCCCAGGGAGAGAGGTGAGTGGAGTGTGGGGGGTTGCCGTGACATTCTAGAAATGGTTTCGGTGGAAGTTCACACACCCAAAGTGAAACCGCCTCCCAGCGTCCCATCTGTTCCCAAGTTTAGACACACAGGGGACAAGGGGTGTCCTCTGGGAATGGCTCACAGAGTGGACATTTGAAGGCCTCCCCCCCCCCCCGTGACCTAAAAGTGAGGCTGTTAGTTCACACAGGAAACCCCCCTTCCCCACCAACACTCGACCAAGCATCACACAGTGTACACAGAACTTGTAGGAAGCAGAGACTGGCCGAGTGGACTGTCACATGGATGTGAAGTCCCTGAAGGCTTCTGGGCCTGAGGGGAGGCCAGAGCCAGGCACACGTGTCAGAGTTCCCACAGGTCCAGCCCCCCCACACCTCTCCCCAGGGCCTTCCCCGTGCCCAGTGAGCTTGGAGGTGTGGGGACCTCGGTGACTTGTTGGATTCCCACCCAGGCCTGGTGCATTTACTTGCATTATCTCGGTGCTGAGAGACAGAACGTCAGACCCCATTTTGCAGACAGGGAAACAGGCTCAAAGACACTGAGCTGCATTCAGTCATGGCCGCAGATCCCCAGCTTAAAATCACCACGGCTTCCTGCCCCTCTAGTGAGTGCAACAGCCAGGCCCACACTGGGTTTTCGGTTCAGCCCTGCTGGGGTCACCAAATCTCTATGTGTCCCCTAAGGGATGATATGTAATATGGTTGAGAGGCACAGCCCAAGCCGGAGCTGGGACAGCAAGCAGGCTGTGGAAATTCTATTTTTAAGTGAGAGATGGCTTTGAAGACAGTTTTTTAAAAGACAGACATAAGGCGAGAAAGCAAAGCGAAATTCACAAACATTGGCTTAGAAATGAACTATGCCTTGGGACCTGCCTGGCCCTCTGGAGGGCAGAAGCTGTGCGCAGTGCCCTCTGGTGGTAGTATCTGGGAACTGCAATCAGGGGCCATCTCCTTGGAGCTTGATTTCCATGGGCATCGATTCTGACAAAGCTTGCTTGATGCTGGGGACATAGCTCAGTGGGCAGAGTCCTTGCCTCGCATGCACAAGGCCCTGGGTTCAATCTCTAACACCGCCAAAAAAATGATACATCCACTGACAAAGCTTGCTCACAGGAGAGTGCCTGCCTAGCATGTGTGAGGCCCTGGGTTCCATTCCCAAAACGTGCTTGTGACTGAGCTCCTTTGCCCTCTGGGATCAGGGTAGAGTGATCCTGTGTGTAGGTAGGGGGACATGAGAGTGGCAGTCAAAGGAATCAGGAAATTACACTTTAAATGGTGGTAGATGACTGGGCACAGTGGTGCACAACTGTAATCCCCCGTGACTCAGGAGGCTGAGGCAGGAGGATCTCAAGTTTGAGGCCAGCCTCAGCAACTTCGTGAAGACCCCTGTCTCAAAATAAAAAAAAAAAAAAAAAGATTTTGGGATGTAGCTCAGTGGTACAGTGCCCCTGGGTTCATTCAATCCTTAGTACTGAACAAGTAAAAACTAAAAGTAAATGGTGACAGATGGTTTCAAATGGCCCTGAAAAGAGCCAACCTGCAGTAGCAACAAGGGAGGTGCCTGTTTTCCCACACCCCTTGGGGGACAGGTAGCAAATGACTTTTTTTTTTTTTTTTTTTTTGGTAGTTTTAATTTGCATTTCTCTTCTTAGTCCAGGGGCTTTCAAAAGCCTGACTTCTGAGCTGGGCTCTAGGTAGGGACTATTTTTCACTTCCCCCAGGAAAACCTGAAACCATTGGTCTGGGCAGAGAGGAAAAGCAGAGAAACTGGAAAAGCCCTTTACTCCCCCTAAAAACAAAGGGGCTCTTGAGAGTCGCCCACTGCAGCATGGAAAAGCCACCTGAAACTTAGTGCCCTAAAAATAACAGCCGTTGACTATTTTTTGCAGTTGGGGGGGCGGGGCTTAGCTGGGCAAGTCTCCCGCTGGCCTCATTTGGGGTCTCTCATGGGGACACCAAGGGGATGGTGCTAGGGATGGGGACCTTGGAAGCCTGGCTCTGACGCTTAGGTCTCCCAAGAGAGCAAAAGCAGGGGCGGCCAGGCCTGCCTCAGGTGTAGGGCCAAGGCTGGCACAGGGTTACCCCAGGGCATCCTCCTGGGTGAGATGAGTCTGGACTCAGCCCAGATTGGAAGGGAGGGAACTCCGCCCCGATGTGGTGGCCGTGGTCATTCTGCTGTGGAAAGCGGTCAATGCAAACCTCATGCTGGAAATATTCCAAATGTGCAAATGTCTGGTCTTCCTCCTCGAATGATTACGCAGTCACTTCTGCTCTGTGGCTGTCTGTAGCTGCCATTCTGTCTCGGCTGTGAAGGCTGCTGGCTTCTGTCCCGTGGGTCCAGCCAGTAGGACATTTGTGCTTTATCCCAGGGCCCAGTGGGAACAGTGAGCCTCAGTCTCCAGAGGTGGAGCACCACCTCCTGAGGACCACATGTGCCAGCACTCGGGCGTGCCCCCTTGGGGGGGTTTGGTGCCCCTCTTCTGGGCTGAGCTCTAGGCACATACAAGACAGCACCCCAGGCCCACGTGTGGTACCAGTTCACCCAGAATGCCTGTCTCCACTTTGTCAATGCCATGGTGACACCAGCATCCTGCTAGCCCCGTCACTTCCTCAACTCTTGACTCTAAGAGTGTGTGTAAAGATGAGGGGACAGTGCCTGCCCTGTGGCCTGGGACTCCATCAGACCTGCTCCCAGTCACAGATCTAAGACTGGGAACAAACAGTATCACTTAGCAATTCAGTTTTGTCATCTGCAAAATGGTGTATAAAATGACGAGGTGTGCATGGGCTCTCTCTGGTCCAGCGAGGAGGTCCACGGAACAGGGCAGAGGAGAGTGTGGCTGCGGAGTTTGACACTCGGGTGCCCTTAACGTATGCCACATATGCAGTCCTCCGCAGGGGTGCTGTGGAAAGCCGTCTGGCAGTTCTTGATGAGGTTAAGCAATCATGGCATGAACCAGCAACACAGCTCCTAGGTCTACACCCAAGAGAATTCAAAAACACATCCACGGAAGCCTCACACATGCACGTTCCCTAGCAGTGCTATTCACAGTGATCCAAAGGTGGCAACAACTTAAAAAAAAAAAAAAAACAAAAAAACACAGAGATGTATACTTTCAAAGGATGAATTGGATGGCAGATGAATTATTTCTCAATATATTTTTTTTAAACGGGGGGCAACCAATTATCCAGTAGAGTCAGAAGATGAAGGAAAATACTTGTGCAAAAAAGTGCCTAGCACCTAGAATGGGCTCGGTAACTTGTCCCATTACGCACAAGTTTGCATGCAGGAGTCCAATATATGCATACTATATTACATCTAGCTATTTGTCCTTCCACACCAGGACCTAGCTCATGTTCCAATTCCAAAGGCCAGGAAGGAAACTTGGGATAAGGAAAAATGTCAAAGGAGGGTTTTGACCCAGCAACAGGATCTTTCTCTGGTATCCCAAGGCTGGGGGGGGGGGGGGGCTGGTTAGTAATCTTGCGGGTCCTGCTCTCAAAGTATAATCATCTAGGAAGGCTCCCCGGTGGAAGAGGGGCCAGGTGCAGAAGAGATGGAGACTCTCTTCCTGCGCTGTCATCCGCACATCTATCCACCTCCGGGACCATTCCAATCTAACTCCCTAGCACGCGGAGACAAGCGAAAGGGCCAAGTGTTCAGTTTTGAAGTCTTGGAAGAAGTGTGGGGCAGAGGATGTCAATTTCCTTCAGGACCCAGAGAGCATGTTAGCCAAGCCTGGGGTCAGGAAAGGAACCCCACCTCTCCACGAGTCAGACAGGAGGGCAGCTAGCTGGAACTTGGTGACCGTCACATGGAGTGCTTGAGGGGGAAAGAAGGACATGTCAGGAAGGGGCGCTGAGGGTGGCTGGGGTGGGGGAGGGGTTGGGATGGCTGCTGGCCATCCGAGAAGGGCCTTGGGGAGTGGGTTCCCCTCCTGAACTCAAGGTCGGTGCACTTGTCTTGCAGTCCTCGTAGGACCCAAGCTGAGCGCCGACCAGCTGGTCCTGATCTACAGCACGCTGGGGCTGTGCCTCTGCACCATACTCTGCTGCTTCCTGGTGGCCGTCGCCTGCTTCCTCAAGAGGAGGGGAGGTCGGCTCTCCAGCCAGCCCAGGGCAGGGCGGTGCAGAACCCGGAACAAGTCCTCCCACGGTAAGTGCATGAAACCGGGGTCCTCGTCCTCTTTACTGCTTGTGCGACCAGACTCGCACATTGGTCACTGCCTGCTTCTGAATTAGGGTCCCCGCCCCTCCCCTCGCCGTGCTGGGGTTTGAACCCAGGGCCTTGCACATACGTGCTAAGCACGTGCTCTTCCACTGAGCTCCATCCCCAGCCCTATCTATGCCAGCTAATGGATGCAGATGTGTTTGCCAGGTCTTAATAGGTAGAAGTCTGGAACACATCCCTATGGTATCTTGGTAACATCTTGGTTAAAATGGCTAGGCAGAAAGAGAGAGCGCAGGTATGGGACACGGGCACGCAGGCTCTCTGAGCTAATGGGTTGGGGGGCGCACCCTGTGGGTGTGTGTGTGTGGGGCATAGATGTGTAAGGGTGTGTGGGGGGGCGCGTTAAGTGAGAGCTAAGATTTGAAAGCCGAGTGCCAAAGGGGCGAGTCTGGGGTGGCTCTTAGTTCCTAGATTAGGGGACACTTCTGGAGTCCCGGCGGGCCTGGGGTGGGTAGAGCAGTGCAGGGTAGTGTCGCCCCCAGCCGACGTCCTCTCCTGTCCCCGCAGACCCCGCGATGGAGGCTGGCAGCTGTGCGGACGCGCCGCCCGAGCCGGTGGAGACGTGCAGCTTTTGCTTCCCGGAGCGCAGGGCGCCCACCCAGGAGAGCGCAGGCGCGCTGCAGGCTCCGGATGCTGCGGGCCAGGACAGCGGGGTGCACCACGCGGGAACGGCCGCCCCGCAGCCCTGCGCGCACGCCACCACCAACGGCTGTTTTGGTGTCGTGTGCGCGCCCGCCCTGGACGGGGTCCCCGGTGAATGAAAGCTGGGTGACCAGGACGCAGGGAGACGAGGAGGGAGATAAGAGGAAGAAATGAAGAGACTATGGAGGGAGTGAGCGACCGGCAGGGAATGGGGCAGAGAGAGAGAGAAATCGAGAGGAGGAGGACAGACAGAGGAAAGAGGAGAGGGGACAGGTGCCAGAACTCGGACATGGACATCCTTTATCCCCCGTTCCGTGCAAACCGTAAGTCGCCGTCACCTAAACACACACGCAATAAAGTCATCTGTGCATGCTGGTCGCGGCTCCAAGAGACCTTTTCCCTGTAAAATAAACATTTTCCCTCTCCTCCGGGGTCTCGGTGTGTCCTTCTATCTGAAGAGCTCAGGCATCCACCCCTTGCTCTCCTTGGCTCCGACTCGGCCCAGTGCAGCTGCCGGGGGACCTGGGGGCTCTGAGGGTCTTCCCAGAGAGCTGGTGGGGCTGGCTCATTTAAGAGAGAGAGAGCTCAGAAAGATGGAAGAATGGTCTGCAGAGAAGATGGGTGCCCTCAGTACCTGAGAAGCAGGGACTTGAGTGTCTTGAGTTCTTTCACAAACAACAAATTCTCTCCCATGCCCCTTTGGTGAGGCCATGAAAGGACAGCGTGTATGTGTATATGTGAGTGTGTGTGTGTGCGTGCACACCCAAGCACAGGCCTGAAGGGCATCTGGAGCTGAGGTAGCAAAGGTCTTGCTGAACCCCAGCAGGAGACTTTTCCTTTTGTATCCATTTTTAAAATTAGCATTTAAACCTACAGTTTCAGTAGCATTTAAACCTTGAGTGGCCTAGCTATTCTTAGGAGCCTTTGAAAGACCCTCCGGCTCCCTGCTCAAGGAAAAGCACACGAGACACTGGCTGCAAAAGCAAGAGGCGATTTATTGCTACACAGGCGCCTGCGGGTGCTCAGCGAAACCTCAGCCGGAGCTTTGGTGAACTGGCACACCGGGCTTTGGGGTACAGATCTTTTATAGGGTA